CAGAGGGTATTATGTCATTATGTTTTGGAAATGAATGTCTATGTCTTAGTCAAGGTTACCTGGGCTGTGTTTATAGCAGCAGGAAAAAATCTTTTGATAAATGTATGCTTTGTCTCTACAAATTCCCTTGTAAATGGAGCCTTTTTATATGGTATGTGCTATTCATGACTTTGTGTCTGTGCATGAAGCGCACATGTGGATGCTAACATTGAAAGTAACCAAAAACAATTGGCTGGTTTTGTCTGGTTTCCCTTCATTGAGAAAGGCACTTTTCCAAGGTTAGCCTTATTCAACCAGCTTTCACAATCTCTACTGTAAGGCCAGCAAAAGCATTCAGACAGTATAATGGATAGGAGAACAATAGTTCAGGATTACTGTGCCATGCCACCTTCATCTTAGATCCCCTAAAAGAGGTTTCAAGGCCCCAAGACTTCTGCTCTGTTTGTGGGGGAGGATAGGAAAGGGGGGGGGGCTCTGTAAGTCTTTGATTAGGCTTGTTAGCTTATTACAATTGAGCCTTGTCAAAGAAAGAAAGAAATAAAGAAGGAAAGAAAGAAAAGACAGGGAGAAAGACTTTTTTAAACTCTTTGGGAATGAACATCATTAGAGCCAAGCACTCCCCTGAGCCCCACAAACTTTAAATAATTTGTGAATCAATTAACTCACGACTCTCAACATAACAGGGATTTCACACCCTGGGGTTGGGGCGCATTATCAGCTCTGGAGGATTCATGGCGTTTTGGGAGAGAAGTTCATGGTTGAAACCATTAATTCATTTTACAGGACTTTTAGTTATGCATTACTCTCCCCAGCTGTGGTGGCCCGGAGATTAATGACATGTTCCTCAGTCCGGCTGCGGCTGTGTAAAGCTAATAGGTGAAACGGCTTTTTCCTCGGGTACCGTTTGTACCTTGAAAGGGAGGAAGATAGCCAAGTCTGTATTAGGTTTTACTCTTTGGAGAATTAGATAAAGCACATCAAGCCATCAAAAGAGCCATATATCGAATAAACCTTGGCAGAGGCCGCGGCCTGAGCTACGACAGCCCGTCGCTTGGATGTTGGGTTCGTTGAAAGGTGACTCAGAACAGTGGGAAATGTCAAGTGCCAAATGATCGATGATTCTCCAACACACTAATCTGGTCTTTTAGACTAAACCAGCCGAAAGCAGCAAAAATGTACTGGGTGTATTTCATGTAAGACAAGGATCAGCAAAGACCTTGCACCATGTAAGGTAACAATGTCTGAGTCTTGAACGACTTAGAGAAGCTCAGCCAGTTGATGCTACCGTTGTCGTATTTCAGTAAAAACCTTATGAGCACTAACAGAAAAACTCATGGATCCTTTGGCCTAAATACTTCAGTAAGGACCTCGATCATTTCAGAATCCTTGAGAGCTTAGAGGAGTCCCTTTCATTACAATAATTTAATTTCCAACGATTAAATCGTATTCTAAATTCACAGTGATGAAATTTTATGTTCCTTTGGGCCAGCTGAGGGAGGAGGAAACAAAATGCAGAAGAATTTCAGCGTGGTTGATAGAATTAAAATGCCGACCCCTATTGAACATCGTCTCGGATAATAATCAAGGTGAGGGTCAGTTAGGAACCGTATCTGGGGAAGGACAGATAATAGACGAGAAAATAACCGCCCAAAGGTTATTCATTTTCATTAGGGTTCCTGGAGAGCCGTTTATTTATTTATTAATTTTTTTCCCCCCTTGCAGAAAATTATTCCTGGAGATCCCGGCTCCACAGAGACATCAGCACAGAGACATGCTAAATGCAAAATGACGGAAGGCTCCGGTAACTTTATTAGATGAATGGCACGCTATGACAAAGAGTGGATTCTGCCTATTCAGGCAGGCGCCGGCGGCCCCATCCTCAGGTGTTTCCAAATGAGTTCACACAGGAGTGATTAAACGATGGGCACAAACAAGCCACACGTTTGCCCAAATTACTTACCGCCTCGTTTTGTGATTAATTAAACATGCAGATTAAAGTTGCAAAGGAATTTAGATTAATGAGCATGCAAGGCCTCGTTGATAGGAGCATGTGGGGAATCCGGCGAGTGCTTCCAAACAGTCCAAAATGAAGGAGACAAGAATCCACATTGAGTCCAGTCCACTAGGGCCTCGTGCGGACTACCGCTTTCTAATGCATACTGGCAGTTTTAAAATAATGTTTTCCTATTGGGAAGTCATTATGAGTTAATACGCTTTCAATTAACTCAAAGCAGATGAGAATTACGGTTCTTTCTCTAGGCATGCTGATAATAAGTTGTATGCTGCTACTTTTTTTTTGATTTTCTAAGTGAAAATAAGTTAACACATCCTCTACAGGGAACTTGAATACAGCATTTTTCTCCAAATGTCAGAAAACAATTTCGGTTTACTTGCTGAGTTTTAAATATTGGGAAAAAAGTAATTAAATGTAAAAATATAAAACTTTTGCACAGGCCCCATTTTATGAGGTACGTCTCCCCAATATATTCAATTCGTTAAATAAACAGTAATTGTGCATCAAAATGTCCAGAAGTGTGTACTTTCACATAAAACATGCATATGAATGTACACAGCTAGCATTTGATGAGCTAATAGAGCTTAACAGACAGTGGACCCCAGCCAAGAATAGATTTAGAGACCATGGGTGTGAAGAATATCTTTTCGCTGAATTTAACAGTAAGGTAGTGTGTCTTGGAATCCACTTCACTATTTAAAGAATACAGTTTCTCCACTTTCTATACTGGCAACGTGGGAAAATGTAAAGCTAACGAGTTACTAGCTAGCTGTTTTGTATTTCTGACCCTCTGTCCACTTTATGTATTTAGATAAAACTTTATATAGTTACTGTGAACATTTATTTTATATATTTACATTTAATGTTTATTTAATTCATGCTTATTTTATACTTTAATTAATAATAAAGTAGGAAATTAGGTCATTATAGCACACTGATATAGTTATGCGCATGATAGCTGAGCTGGTTTTCAGGCTATGGTGCTTATGGGAAACACAGCCAAACCCATGTTTTTCAAATTTCTAATTGAAATAAGGAAAAAATCTGTTGGCTTCAACCCTACACATTCACTGTCTCTCTTTCACACACATAAACACACACACACACACACACACACACACAAAGCCTATATGAAGTACAGTACAAGGCTTACACTGTTGCCTGGCCGCTGGACGTGGGCCAGGGCATAGGGCCGATGTTTGCTGTTCTAAGTCAGTGGCTCTTTCACCTTTATTCAGCCCAACAATCAGTGCTTCATGCCCAAAATAGAGACCCGACCCTGCAACTTATCAATGTTAATATCTGTGTTCACACAGCCTATAATGGGACTCAGTGCGGGCCACAGCTGCTCCACGGTGTTAGTTGCTCCCAACATACTTCAAAAAGGTAGAACATGTAACCCCATCCCACGCATTCAGACCAGCTCAGCGCAAGCCCTGCATGGCAATCCGGCTATAATGACTTGAGCTTGCCAGGGAGTAACTGTTAATATCCTCTTAAAAATTCCAGTATTTAGACTTATGTTTGCAGCATCTCTGTTCTCTCGGATGCATAGTTTGGACGGATTAAAATGAGATAAGATCACAAAAGCAGTCAATTAGCGTTAAAAATCATGAAACTTGTAGTTGATTCTCTGCAATAAAGAGCTATTAATCAAGAACTAGTCACGTTCCAGCTTCTCCGCTGATATCATGACACACAACGTCTTCTGCATCGGCTCTCATAACAGCAAGCTATTTGAGATGCACTGTTAGTCTAATAAAGGCAGGCCGGCTCTCCCCCTGACTGACAAGCCTGGCAGACAAAGGTGGTAATCACTCCTGGTCCCTTTGTTATTTCACCATTCAGCTCAGGCGAGCGAACCCACACTGATCTGCCTCTCTTTCCACTGACAGCCATTCACGGCGGACTTAACATACCACCAACACACACTATGAGCAAGAAGAGAAAAAACAGAGCCCAGTGAAATAGGGCGTATTGAGCTAAGATGAAGCCAGTGTTTGACTTGAAATCACGGGGATAAAGCAGCGGCATTAGTGAATGGCCGTGAACTTTGAGGTGGGATATGCCATTCTCACCGGCCTAATTATGCAGGGCCAACAGAGGTGCTTTCCTCACATTAATATAAGTCTGTCCTGCGCCTCATATCCAACTGACATTTGAAAAAAGATTAATGTGAACTTAACTTTCAGGGGGCTTATTTGCTCAACATTACCTAGAGCAACACTTTGCCAGATATGATCTTTATTACTGTACTGGAAAGAGAAAACTCCTATTTAAGACATATTGTGGCTCTATGCTGCAGCTGTATATTGACTGTTTTCTGAGGCCTTGCCCATGTTTCTTTAAAAGGGGCTCTTTCTTCATTGCTCTGAATGCTCTTATTGAGAGCGACCGGCGGCCATAAACTACCAATAACATAGCCCTCATTAGCATAGAGAATACATTCACTCTATATGCACAGATGGAGGTGTGTGTGTGGGTGTGTGGGTGTGTGCATAGAAATGGAGGGAAGCGCTAACCAACCAAATCCATGCTTTTTAAACAGTGAAATGTTGTGATAATTCCGTCTAATGTTGAATCTTTGTGCCGCCGACTTCTTCAAGTAATTATCATCTCTGTAAATGTTATTACGCATATCACTGATGTCACTGTTTGTGAAGAAGTATAACAAATCCCAAGGCATATAATGTGTGAAATTGTTCTTCTTTTCTGTCTCATTTTCACATGCATGTACTTGACTCGTGATTTTGTAGAATAAGCTTAATTCCAAGAAAAGAAAGCGAATAATATACCCATTCTTTCTTTTACATTTTTTTTTAGAAGAGCCACCATTTTCCGCGTGGCTTCACGGATGTGAAATGACGAAAGATGTGCATAAAGGGAGAGAGACGATGATGGGAGAAAAAAAAAACAGAAAGGGGAGCAGAATTCAGTCAAAATGTTGACTGCCAGGGACAGATAAACAAAAATAGTCTGTACTTACGTAAACAGAACGACTTTATCCCCAGCTCCCAGCGATCACTGGTAAGTTGATTTTGAACTCATGAAAATGACCTAAAATTGAAAGACAAAACAAAACATAATCAGTGTATGTTTTATTTTTGAGACAACTTTTTATTTATTTTTAAAATTTTGGAATGTGAAAGCAAAACACCAGAAAGTGTTGGGGTGAAATCAGGGCTGGCTATGTGAGTGCGGAGAGAGAGAGGGAACAAGAGCTGGCGTGGGCTCAGAGCGTTCGCAACTGAAGTTAAACAGCCCCCGTTGCTGTAAGGCCTCAAGTTATTCTCCCTTCCCCCTGAGGGACTCAGTCCTAGACAATGTTTAGAATCCACTTCTCTAATACCTCATTAATCTGTCCCTGCACTGTTTGATTCCGCTAATAAATGGCTTTCATATAAAGTGCTTGCTTTATTCGATCCCTTACTCAGCCTCTTTCTCTGCGCGGCGCTAATGATTTATTTAACGCCCCGGCCCGGCTAGCTCGAGCACGTCTCTTCCAGTCCACCAGTGGGCCAGTGAGAGGACCACGGGGGGAAACACAAACAAACAGACGCATGTTTTAATAAAGAGGCGCTTGGCTTTGGCCATTATCTGAGCAAAAGTTCAAGTTCACGTTTCCAGCTTTGAATTGCAGAAAATACAAAAGAGAAAGAAGGGGGAAAGAGAAAAAGTGAAATGCACAGAGAAATGGAGAAGGGAGAAAGCAAGAAAAAAAAAAATCAAAGAAAAAAAAGGAGCCAGGGAAGTGCACAAAGCTCATTGATGTTCATTTCTTCACATTATTCTGTTTTTCACAACAAGCAAGGATCTCATTACCAGTTGATTTATACAATTAGCCTGCCTCGGCACCGCCAATTAAACAAGGACACAGGGGTTTAAGGTCACAGCTAATTGATCTGCCTGCAAATTGTGCTCCCTCCATCTCTGGCAGCGAACGCAAGGAGCCACCAAGCGCTCCCTGTCAAAGTTAGCTGTCGATGGAGAACCACATACACTGGCCTTTGAAAGAGTGGGAGGTAGGTTAACATGGTCTCCGACGGATCTAAGTGTGGCAACCTTGAGGATGAAAGTGACAATGGGTTGACCCCCGTGTGAATGGAAAGCTGTTGTCAATGTAATAGCACCTAAGAGCTAGAAGCCTGTTCCGAGGTCTCAAAGGAGCACCGCCTGTGTCCCCACACTGTCACACTTCTCCTGCACTATGCACTCACACTTGCACACATACTTCTCTCATATACCACCAAGACAGTCCTACACACACAGATATACACAGATATACATGTTCTCCATACAATAAACCCTTTTGCCAGGGATGATGAGTCTATAAACGTTCTTCTCCTGTATTATATGCACCTAATTCTTGTTGAGTTTTAATAAAGAAGGGCCTGTTTTAATTGCAAGAGAGGGGGGAATAAAAATTAACAAGAATTTGAATTTATAATTTGATGGTAATTGAGAGAAATGAAGAAAGTAACAAGCACAAGAACAAGAAAACGGCATAATTTTACATGCATGCCTTATTTAAGCTAATCACTTGTCTGGATAAAAAAAAATCTTTTGATTCTGAATAATAAAACAATGATGATATTACAGATATTACAAATAATTAAACCAGCGCAATAAGCCCCGAAGTGCAATGAAAGCAAATGTGGCAGACTATTGTAGTGGTAGCCAGTACCTCATTTCCTATGCTGGATTAAGCAGGCGAGCAGGGAAGCTGAGCAGGACTTCCCTCATTCAAACCCTTCCTTTCCCTAATTAGGCGATCATTGATTCATTAAAGAGAATTCCAATCAGCTCCAGCCTGCTTTTATTAGTTTCCCAACAGTTTTATTACCAAATCATTGTGTCCGCAATTACTCCTGTGGTTTTTTTCACAGGAGTTCTAGGGTTTTTTTTCTTTCTGTCTCGACAGGCACAAGGAAGCGATAAAGAGGAGAGAAGTCTACAAGTGGAGAGAAGTAGAGAGAAAAAGAAAGAAAGAAAGAAAGAAAGAGATACTGGTGTGGGGTAGCCTAACTTTAGCCTCGGCCTTGGGGGTGGAGTAAATTACTAGGCAAGGAGTTCATTCAAGTCAAGTCAAGTCACCTTTATTTCCATAGCACATTTAAAAGACAAGTGTCGGCCAAAGTTCTGCACAATAATAATATCAATTAAAATAACCACTACTAACTAATCAAAACTACACAATACATTGATCAAGGAAAAGAAATAACAACATGCATACAAAACAAATTGAATAAAAAGCAATAAAACATAAAAGAGCAAAATAAAACAAAATAAAATAGAAGAGCTACACTGGCAAGACAGAACCAACCAAGACAGAACCGATACTGATCATCAAAAAGACTCAAAAGCCTGAGAAAATAGATGAGTTTTAAGATTTGACTTAAACACCTCTATTCTGAGGGATTCCTTTACGAAAAGCGGGAGTTCCAGAGTCTTGGAGGAGCTACAGAAAAGGCCCGGTCACCTTTAAATCTCATCCGAGACCGTGGAATGGCTAGGAGCCATATTAACCTGCATGAGTACTGACAGAGGGCTGCCACACGCTACTGATCAGTCCCTCAGCAAAAACAACACCTATCCACATTCCCCAGTCCAACAGAATGAAAGATGGATCTCTCAGAAATGAAACAGTTTTTTAAAAAGCATTAGACGTTTCTACAGGGTGGAGTGGAGAGCGCCTGGCTCGTGCTGGCAAACTTCACCTATCCACTACGAACGGAACCATCTCACACCTTCAATGAACAAACTGCTGCAAACTGACCCTTCGGCCAAGAGCCAAGGGGTACAAACAATGCATCAACAGAGGGTGAACCGATGTCCTACACGGCATGGCTCAGTGTATGTCCTCTGGCACATGATCCATATGCTTTGTGTGTGAGCATATGCCTCCTGGAAGTGAGGCTGAGGCCGTAATCTTTCTAAATCTGTTCAGCAGCCATTGCCCAAGGAGCAGCATCTGAGATTCCCTCTGAAATCAAATGAACCTTCAAATTCCAGGCATGTGTTCATCTACAGTAGGGGGTCTGGGCTGATCTAATTACTGCGCCACATAACAGCACACTGTGTCTTTGACTATCATATGACAGTGGCCTGTGTCAGTGGCTAACATTCTCAAAAATATAAAAACTGGCACACTCTCTTGCAGCGGTCGCACTCTTTAAGTGCCTTATTTTCAAGCAGGGAGAAACACAGTCATGTACTGTACAGCAATATACTTATAAACATGTGTAAAAAAAAAAGTGGCTGCTTTTAAGAGTCTAAAACTGTATGCCGAAGTGGCTAAACCCAGCGGCCATCATCCGTTCCTCTGAACTACTCAGAAAAGGGAATGGCAGCCCAAGCGCTCTGCGACCCGACATGGAGCATTTTAAATTGCACCCCATCACCTAAGCTTTATTCGGGTCTTGGAACCTGCAGGAAAAAAAATACATTACCTCTATATACTATTTCCACCTCTGTACTGCTCTTAGTCCACAACATGTTAAAGAGGAGATTTAGCAGAGGTAGTTATTGGGACAAAAGAGCCAATCTCGCCCATCAGCAGGTCGCTCCCTTACCTAGTGGAGTCCAGGTTATCTCACCACTGACAGCAGGGACAGCGGCAGGGCTGTGAAGGGAGGGGAGAGGGAGCAGTGGGGGGTTCCAAGAGGATGGGGTAAAATGAGGTACCAGGGAGGCCTTAAACCAGCAGCTCAGGCTAAGCTTCCATTTGGGAGGGGAGGATGGTCGTGGGGGGGGGGTTCTCACTGAAAACCCTCCGTGCCTGCTGCTCGGCAAAGACCATTGTCAAATTCAATCTCCAGCTTGACAAAAATCAACTTGCGCCTGCACTTTGCCTCTGGCTTGCATGGAAGGGAAAAAAACATGGTTCCAAGCAGCAACTGGACTTAATTATTGAGCACGGAGAGAAACCTATTGGTGGAGTACTAAAAGGCAAGTAGAGAGGAGCACCTGGCCACAGAGGGGCATGGGTAGAAATGGGTGAGGGTTTGGTTTGGGGGGGGGGGTTTGGAGACCCTACCACAGGTACTAAAACTCATTCACGATGCAGCTACAGTGGCAAGCTAAACAGGGTCTTTCTATTCTCAGTGGAAGTGCACTGGGGCACTGCCGTAAGAGGCAGCAGCACCACAAAGAACATCTTTCTTCCCCCAGAATAAATAAAAATCCACCATATCATTGAGTTATTTGGGGCTGGATGCAGTCCAACAGCCAAGCAGTCCAGCTGGTGGAGAAATGCTGGCGGCCCTGGCATCACAAGCACAGGTTCAGGAGGGAGGAACTTCTTCCTTCTCCTCTTGGACTCCCTTAGTCTCCCAACTCCTCAATAACAAGCTCCAACTTAGGCTTGGAAGGGGCTGCTTATATCTAAGAGTTTCCTCTCGAGTTCTCTTGTTATCTACCGCTACACAGGTCTGCTCATGGACAGCTGTGGAACCATGGAATATTGTTTTTAAACACAACAGCTCCTGTCAATCATGAAGTTTGACTTTCACGTCAACCATTCCAGAGTCCATGGCCCCGAGAATAACGAAAACAGAAGTTCTACATTAAGGCACGGTAAAGGCCCTCACATCCACTACTGGAGAAATCAGGATCCCGAGCGACACTGCAGAAAGTGCCTCTTTGATTCAAGACTTATACATTCTCCGCTCTGTGTTTAGTGACCGAACGACACGGCCTTGTCATTTGGTCATTGATTTGGCCTTCCGACATCAGCCGATAGAATGGATTCCCCAGCACAAGCAGAAGATATTATTTTTTCTCTCCTTCTCAGAGCCACTTTCTGTTTCTCTTTTTCATTCCTTTCTTATCTTCTTTTTCTTGCCCCCATCCCCCAAACCACAACTATTGAAATGGGTTATGAAAACTACTACTTTACTGAGTCACTGGCCATTCTCTCCCTCCCTCTCGCTCTCTTATCGCCCGTGCTCTCGCGGGGCATTTTGGCTGCTGAAATCCTGTTCACCACATACTGGTTTTAGAAGCTGTGAAATGAGTGCCGGAGAAGCGTGGCCACAATGTCTGCCTGTGTTGCCACT